TGCTCTGGTGGTCCCCCTCTTTAAGAAGGGAGACCGCACAGACTGTAACAACTACAGGGGCATCTCACTCTTCAATGTGCCGGGAAAGGTCCTGGCAAGGATTATTCAACATCGCCTCGCCAGGCACGCTGAGGAGAGGCTTGCGGAGCCCCAATGCGGTTTCAGGAAAGGGCGGTCCTGCACAGATGCCATATTTTCTGTCAGTCTGCTACAGCAGATGTGTAGGGAATTCCAACAAGACCTACATCTCTGCTTTATTGACCTGGTCAAGGCCTATGATACCATCAGTAGGCCTAGGCTCTGGGTTGTTCTTCGTGCTTTTGGAGTACCTGACCCTCTGCTCACGATCATTAAGGACCTTCATGATGGTGAGCGGGCCCGGGTAAAACTACGTGGCCGGGAGTCAAAGCCATTCCCTGTACACCTTGGGGTGCGACAGGAATCTCCATATGGTACAGATATAATGGGAGGCTGATCGATGCCCGGGTGCGGTCAAGGGATGGCTCCCAATTGCTCAACCACGTTATGTATGCTGATGATTTGGTAATAGCTGCTCATTCAGAGGAGGAGTTGGAGCCGCTGCTGCTGAGACTGGAGTGTGCCACTAAGAGGTGGGGCCTTACCATCAGCCCCACCAAAACTAAGCACCTGCCTGGGTATTTTCTACCATCGGACACTCCACCCCCACAACTCCCAATCGGTGATGAGGCAGTTGTGGAGACAGTGGAGAGTTTCCCATACCTGGGCAGTGTGCTTATGACTGGCTCCAGTTTAACAGCAGAGGTCTCACTCCGAATCAGTCGAGCGGCAATATCTTTTCATCGGTTGCGTAACGCTGTGTGGAAGCTACCTGGTCTGTCGCTCCGCACTAAGCTTCAGGTCTTCTCAGCCACGGTCATTCCCTCCCTTCTCTACGCTTGCGAAACGTGGACCCCCCTAATGGAACATCTTCGCCGGTTAGAAACATTTAGGCTGGCCTGCCTACGATCCATCCTGGGTTTAACCAGACTGGATTGTGTGAGGAGCTCACAAATCCTTGAAAGATCTGGGCAAGGTCCCATCGGTGAGCTCCACCGGCGGGGAAGGCTGCAATGGCTGGGTCATGTAGCCCGCATGCCCAGCCACCGCATGCCGAAACAGCTTTTGTTCGGCCGGATTGAGGGGGCTAAGCGGGCGCGGCACGGGCTAGAGAAGAGATGGAGTGATGTGGTACAGGAGGACGTGGAGCTGAGTGGACTTGCCGATGACTGGTACCAGCGGTGTCAAGATCGGCCTCTGTGGAGGAGGCTCGTGAAGGATGCTACTGGGCAGTTGGAGGTAGTCGCCCTCCAACAACAACGGAGGGCGGAGGAGCGACGCTCACAACAACGAGCGGAGCGCCGGGTGGCAAAAGCACAGCAGGTTGGCACAGAAGGGGCACAGGTGGTGCACCAGCCAGTCATCTCAGTCAGTCGACCCGTGGCACCTGGGTCTTCCCCGTGACCTCCTGCCCGCGGGCGTTCGACACTTCACGTGGCCTCAAGGTGCACATGGCCTGGCACAAGCGTCGTGGTGACGTCACCGCCACTTAGTGGCGAATGGCGGTTGTTGTTGTTGTGTCTGTCTGTGTGTGTCTGTGTGTGTGTCTGTGTGTGTGTCTGTCTGTGTGTCTGTCTGTGTGTGTCTGTCTGTGTGTCTGTGTGTCTGTGTGTCTGTCTGTGTGTGTGTCTGTCTGTGTGTATGTCTGTGTGTCTGTGTGTCTGTCTGTGTATGTGTCTGTGTGTGTGTCTGTGTGTCTGTCTGTGTGTGTATGTGTGTGTGTCTGTGTGTGTGTGTCTGTGTGTGTGTCTGTGTCTGTGTGTATGTGTGTGTGTCTGTGTGTGTGTGTGTGTCTGTGTGTGTGTCTGTCTGTGTGTATGTCTGTGTGTCTGTGTCTGTCTGTCTGTCTGTGTATGTGTCTGTGTGTGTGTGTCTGTCTGTGTGTGTATGTGTGTGTGTCTGTGTGTGTGTCTGTGTCTGTGTGTGTATCTGTGTCTGTGTGTATGTGTGTGTGTCTGTGTGTGTGTCTGTGTCTGTGTGTGTGCTCTGTGGTGCGGTAGTGTAGCGGTTAGCGTGCTGCACTACCAACCTGGCGACCCGGGTTCGATTCCCGCTCACGGCCAACACCAGTGACGATTATCTAAACCGGTTCCGGACTTCCACTAGGTCGACTCAACCTCAAATTGAGTACCCGGTGAGGTGTGTAAAACATCGTCACTAGGGAGACAAAGGCGGCCGGGCGTAGTGCTGGCCACCCACTCCCTTGTGTGCCGTGCAGGCCTTCATAGGTGCTCGCTAACAGCACTTGCTCCTACAGTCTGTTCAGGCTATACGGGGGGATCTTTGTCTTTGTGTCATCGTGGGGAGCGGTGGTGCTCACGGCCACCAACACCACTGACAATCATCTGCGCCGGTCCTGGCCCTCCCCTAAGTCTTCTCCGCCTTAAACGAGTACCTGGTGCGGCGTTTAAACATCACAACCGGGGAGACACAAGCCATCCCCCCACCCCTTCCCCCGCTTCATAGGTGCACGCTAACAGCACTTGTCTCCAAACCGTCTGTAAAGGCTACACGGGGGATCTTTGTCTTTGTTTCGGGAAAGGCGATACGACCCCGCGGGGAGCTTGCGCGCACGGCAGCGCCGACTCGGGAATAGTGGCGGAGTGAGGGGGGTTGGGGTCTCGTTGACCTCTCTGTGGCAGAGGGAAGCAGCTTGAAGGACAGACGACGCATTGGGGGTTTGTTCTGCCAGGGATACTCGCCCTCCCATGTGCCCACCAATCCACACAGCCCCCCTCCGCCTGACTCAACATGGCACACGTGGCACCAAAGCGGATTAATTCAGGACACCGCTGCCTGGTCTGACTTTGAGCGAGTTGGGAGATGGGTGTTGAACATTCTCGGACAGAATATGAGTGGGGACACAGAGCTATAGAGAGACGGAGGGGGGGGGAGCACATTAATAGACGAACACGAAGAGACAGAGATCTCCAGGATCTGCAAGTTGATTTCCGTCTCCTTCCCACCCCACCACCACCTTCCATCCATGGCCAACGGAGACTCATCTTACTTAGTTTCTTTTTTACGATATATATCATATGCCCGGGTTAGGTTATGCTATCCCAAGCTAAAATCTATTACTCTTGTCATTGTTTTGAATCAAGAACACACGGTGTGACCCCCAGTGGGAAGATGACACTCGGCCCCCCCCAATAAAGTGGCTTGCAACCAGCCCCGCCCCCCCCCCCCCATTGCTATAGCGAGCCACGCTGGGGCCATGGAAATAGAGCCACAAGACCCCAGATCACAATGAGCCAGGCCCAGTGTTGTACTCACCACACCATCAGTGTTGTCCTCACGACATCATCAGTGTTGTACTCACCACGTGACCAGTGTTGTACTCACCACACCATCAGTGTTGTACTCACCACGTGACCAGTGTTGTACTCACCACACCATCAGTGTTGTACTCACCACATCAGTGTTGTCCTCACGACATCATCAGTGTTGTACTCACCACACCATCAGTGTTGTACTCACCACACCATCAGTGTTGTACTCACCACGTGATCAGTGTTGTACTCACCACACCATCAGTGTTGTACTCACCACACCATCAGTGTTGTACTAACCACACCATCAGTGTTGTACTCACCACACCATCAGTGTTGTACTCACCACATGATCAGTGTTGTACTCACCACACCATCAGTGTTGTACTCACCACACCATCAGTGTTGTCCTCACGACATCATCAGTGTTGTACTCACCACACCATCAGTGTTGTACTCACCACACCATCAGTGTTGTACTCACCACATGATCAGTGTTGTACTCACCACATGATCAGTGTTGTACTCACCACACCATCAGTGTTGTACTCACCACGTGATCAGTGTTGTACTCACCACGTGATCAGTGTTGTACTCACCACATGACCAGTGTTGTACTCACCACGTGATCAGTGTTGTACTCACCACATGATCAGTGTTGTACTCACCACACCATCAGTGTTGTACTCACCACGTGATCAGTGTTGTACTCACCACGTGATCAGTGTTGTACTCACCACATGACCAGTGTTGTACTCACCACACCATCAGTGTTGTACTCACCACGTGATCAATGTTGTACTCACCACGTGATCAGTGTTGTACTCACCACGTGATCAGTGTTGTACTCACCACGTGATCAGTGTTGTGCTCACCACACCACCAGTGTTATACTCACCACGTGATCAGTGTTGTACTCACCACGTGATCAGTGTTGTGCTCACCACACCACCAGTGTTGTACTCACTACGTGATCAGTGTTGTACTCACCACGTGATCAGTGTTGTACTCACCACGTGATCAGTGTTGTACTCACCACGTGATCAGTGTTGTACTCACGGTCGCACACTGACAAGCTACTATGTATTGTGGCTCCTCCTACCTAAATCGCATCGTCGTTACGCTCACGGTCTCGGACATTTATCGCTGTGGGAGGCGCTTGCCTCTCGCAAAAATTCAGCCACTGCAGCTCCGTTGTACCTCGTTGCAATGTTACCTTCACTGCTCGAATTAAATTTAAATAAAACGTGGAACATAAACGAAAGCCTTTATATAATGATGCTAATAATAAAAACTAAACAGCCTGTGTTTTAAATACGTTTTTGTTCTTTTACACCGTTGTCGAAAACATATCTCATGGCGGTTTCCAAGGGGGCCACAACTCGTAGCTTTGGCCACGGGTGGGCAAGGCAACGTCTGGCCCCCACGCTGGTTACGATCCTGGCCAGGCCGCTGCTGAGCTCAGATCATTCCCCTGTGGGAATGAGCGGCCGTCGTGGGGAACACGGGCAAGAGGACACACGCGGGAGGGAGGGCGTCTCACCCAGATAGAGCGACACGTTCTCAGATTTCACCTGCTCGTCCAGGTACGTGGGGGACAGCCGTCGTGGGCAATACGGGCAAGAGGACACACGGGGGAGGGCTTCTTACCCAGGTAGAGCGACACGTTCTCAGGTTTCACGTTGTCGTCCAGGTACGTGGGCCCCAGCGTGTAGATTGGCGCCGCGCCCATCCCGACCAGCAGCTGGGCCAACACGAACAGGGCCATGGCCATCGCGCGCTCACCGCCGAGCCCCTCCGCCTGGAGGCCGACGCCGCACGCGACCTCACCTCCCCCGGTGGCCGTAGCCAGCGGGGAGAGGGCGTGGACGAGGCCTGCTCCTCGTGAACACACGCGGGGAGGGAGGGAAGGGAGCATCGGTCACCGAACCTAAAGGCATGTGGCTGACAGTGGCCGTCACAACAATGTGTACCGCATCGTCGTCGTCATAATCCCGTGTTTTTTTTTATTCTGATTCCCTGGATCTTGTCCTGTCGATGTCTGAATCAGAATCTCTGTTTCGACTGCAGGAATCTGGTGAGATAATTTTCACAGATGTAAAATATTGGGTGGGTCAGTTTGATGCAGCTTCAAAGCGAAACGCCACGCATCTAATTGCTCAATTTTCGTCGAGTTGTTCTTCAAATCTCCCACGGTGAGCTGACACAACAGTAATTGGTGCGTCGTTCCACCTGTACACGTAACAATGTAATTCGCTTGGCTGTGCCGGGTGGCGGACGGTCTTAGCGACACAAATTTTGCCAGATAGTTACGTGAACTTACCCAAAAAGCAATCACAAATCACCATCATCATCATCATATGGCCTTTCAACCAACTCATCAGAGACTACACGGGCCGAATGTCCTTCCGCCACGTATCTCCCTGCCTGGCCGATGTTCCTGCTTCGTTCAATCTCACTACGCGTCCGTCTCCTTGTCTTGCTCCAATGTCTCCGAATCCGGCTCTCGGTGTCCCTCTGCTCCTGTTTCCTTCCACTTTTGTGCGCGCGCCATTTCAGCGCGCGGGATCCTAACCGAGTGCACCCTTGCTCTGCATTGAATGCGTCAACGTAGTCATGTAAACTCCCATTCATTGGCCGGTAACACCTTCGTATAAAGAGGACCGCAGAGCTCGGTGGGCGGCGGGGGGGGGGGGATTTTTTTTTGGTGCCGGATCTCCATTTGGCTGCTGCCTTTACCACTCTTTTTCTGTTTTCTCATGCCTCGATGCAATTCTCTCTCGCTCATAGACAGCGAGCAAATAATGGGCAGCACGGAACAAATCGAAATTCAATATTGTTTCGGTATTTATTTAGTTTTGAGGAGAAAAATAGAATCCGGTAAGTCTGTCCATGTAGAGGGCCTCAATCATGTTTTGAGGATTGGACTTGGCAAATGTGTTCACGGAAATGCACAACTGCGCTAACAAACCCGCGCATTCGGCCGGCGAGCTCATGGACTCATCGCACTGGCACGCAGCGTGACGTTCACCGTAAAAGTGTTGCATGCAAAGCTTCTTGAAATCATTTGCGTTGCCAATCTCCTGCCCAAAAAAAAGAGAAGTGCTATAATGAGCTGGCCAATTCGTTATTGTTACGCTGCGTGGTAAGTCTCATTGCCGGTCGGTTTAGGGGCCATCCATTTAGTTGGTACGCAAAGATCTGTCCAAATTTTACACCTCCCCCCCCTCCCTGTACGCACGCGGACTTTTTACACCCCCCACCCCACCTGCGTACTTGACGCACCTCCACCCCCCCCCCCCCGAATCCTATAGAACGGCCCATATTTAATCCACGCAGAAACGATCAAGGATTAATAATATTAACGCGTTTAGGCAAACATTGTCCACCGCCGGCTGCATTAAAGAATTAAGTTGCGTAACCTGGCCACTTATTTTGCTGAGCTGCGTGCTAGCTCGCAGTCAAGGGGTACGGTGGCACACAAAGTGTGACACCTCTCCCAAAGTCCCACTTCTCCCGGTAGTACTTGTTGTCTGACAGCTGAAGAGACTGAACTGTGACCCATTTGTAGGCCAATGTAGACAGATTATTATCGAGGCTTCACCCCCCCCCCCCCCGTTTCCTATGCGTACATACATTGTTAGTAGACCCCCCATACGCAAGCGTACGTACTAATTGGATGGCCCCTTAGAAGTTTTGTTGTTTTCCGTGTCCACGGGTCATTTGGAGAGACGTTAACACTTGCAGAGGCACGGCTAGTTTTCGTCTTAGGTGGCTCCACATTGAGTGTTTGATTTTATATTCTTAGCTCTTTCGGTAAAGTCACGTTGTTTCCCTTCAACGTGACTTTACCGAAAGAGCTAAGAATATGAATTACTGCAGTCACGAAAGCTTTAAATCAAAATGTTTGATTTTATTTAAAATACTGTCATGTTTTCACGTCCCACCGGTTACACGGCCTTCTCTGGGACTGCATGGTTTTGGCAGCTTTGGCTCAACGCAAGCAAACCGGCTACAACATTCGATTTCAGGCTTGCTTGAACTAATGCTGGTGAAGTGCCAAATGTGTTTTTTTTATTTTCAGATAAAGGACATCTTTGTTAAATATGGCTCCTTAGTTCGACACAAAACCATACACAGGGTGGCCCAAAAGTCAGGACACATCGGGTTATTTCATTTATTGTAACACTGGCATTAATACACATTTAGTTTAAATCCTTAAGTTAAGATTCCATCTATTATCATAATTTATATCGATATTTCTTCTTCCTGTGGGCTCACCTCAAATGTCGTTTAAAAATCTCTTCCAAGATGCCTGAATGAATTGAGACGAAGCAAAATTGCTAAATGTTCAAAGATTACACCTTAAATTTTTATTTAAAGCTTTCGTGACTGCAGTAATTCATATTCTTAGCTCTTTCGGTAAAGTCACGTTGAAGGGAAACAATAAAATAATATATATAAAACATAAAAAAACACCTTCATCTTAAAACAACACAAATCTCAATTAATTTCAAACGGTAATTTGTGCACGTGTTAATGTTAATGGCGGTGAGTTTGAACATTTGTTAAAATAAATGGAATAACCCTACGTGATTTGCTAATAGAAATATACTCTAACAACCCTGTGTGTCCTGACTTTTGGGCCACCCTGTGTAACAGAACATAATAATTAAAAAAAAGTACAAACAAAATAAAACAAATATATTTGGTGCTTAAATTATCTGCAACAGCGCTTTTGATATGTTGTGCTGTGTAACTCTGGTATGGCACTTGACACCACACGTCTGCATACAGCACGTGCGTTATTAGACTGTGTTGATCTGTAATGAAAAGCTCAACCAACATCACACACACGAAACGCATCCGTAATTACATTTTAAACGACAGTAATTGATCACGTGTAATTCGGCAAATATAACCTGATCAGGAACGTGCGTTGCGAATACAATGGGCAGGCTGACAAATTGTGTGGAGGCTCATGACTGTAGCTGTTTAACGGTGACTCTGGACAATCACGAGGAGGGCCTCAAGGTGGCTCAGGGCTCAGAGCAATGAGCCGGCACAGCGCTGAGGACCTGGGTTCCAATCCGGGTTTCAGTCAGCCGTGCTTCAACCAGGATAACGCGTGTCGTGGGATCTGATCAATCTCAGACTTCGTACGGTGGAGAGTTGATCCGAAACGTCTCTATGTTAGCGTCGAGGTTGGTGAGTAAGCCAGTGGATGGGTTGATATCAGGAGTAGCCTGCTGCTGAATATCTGAAACGCTACGAGATAAATTATGGAATTGGGGGGGGGGGGGGGGGGGGGGCGTTGAGCATTTTGAGATTGGTGACCACAGCAGTACCGATGATGGTGACGGAGCTGCTGATAAGAGAGCTGATATTTTTGCTACATCTGCTGACTTGTGCCCCGGTGTCAATAAAGTTATTCAAATTTAAACCCGGTCTCTCTCTCCCTCTTCCACGCACCCACACACACCGATCGAATTAGACGCACCTCCAACTTTACACTTCGCAACAGACGTGGTCAAAGCGCCTCGTATACTCTGAACAATGCGGTGAGCAAGCAGCCTCTGGCTCGCATTCACAGCGAGCGACAGCTCGAGCCTCATTGCAAGACGGACAAGAACAGATCGTATCGTTGCTCACTCTGCCGAGTGTTTCACATTCGTTTTAAGTTTAACATTGACGGTGTATTTCCCACATATCCCCCCCCCTCCCACCCAATTTAAAGAAGGTAGCAGCACAGGGTTGATGTTTCTCATAACATTGACTACTCCTGCTGCTGCTGATAATACTAATAATTCACACACGCACACGTGTGTGCGTGTGTGAATTATTGATAATACTAATAATTGATAATACTAATAATTCACACACACGTGTGTGTATGTGTAAATTATTAGTATTATCAGCAGTAGCACGTGTGTGTGTGTGTGCGCGCAGCAATATAAATAGATACAGCACGGTGAATCGATCGGTATTGTGAGTAAAGCGTTGGGTAATCCTCATCACGCCTCTTTCAAGATGACGTCTGGCCAGCGTGCGAGAGGTCTTCTCGTGACCCTGCAGAGTCGTCTCGACAGCTCACTCGAGCGTGAGGCCCTTCCGCGAGCCGAGGCGTGAGCGAGCCATTGCAGGGGCTGCACCTTTGACACGTGCTTTCGTTGTTGTTGTTTACGACGACGATACAACAACAGCGAGATGTTTTGCTCCATACCTGGTTGTCCCTTGGTGACCCCGAGCGAGGAATCGTTGGGACTCTCCGCCAATGTCGTCGGCACGCACAACTCCAACGGAGTCTGCATCCCCGAGTCTCCTGCGTAGGGTCCCGGGAGGTCACCCACGTTCGTGGAGGACGGCGACGACGATGATGATGATGATGGGGAGGAGGAGGAGGAACTACCCTTGGTCAAGAAATGGGGCAGCGCAAAGATGGCAGCTCCCAGGGCCACGAGCAGCCCGCCGGCGGCCAGCCACCGCGGCCTGCGACCTCGACCGCCGAAGAAGCTCACGAAGACGACGACGGAGAGGCTGCCCACGTCGAAGCAGCTCACCACCAGGCCCGACTCGGAGCTGCGCAGCTTGAAGCGCCTCTCCACCGTGGTGATGACCCCGTTGAGAAGACCCGACACCATGAGCGCCTGCACGAAGGTGAGGCTGCACATCGAGAGCAAGAAGCAGCGCGAGTCCTCGAAGCGACGTCTGCACCAGCAGCCGCGCGTCGAAAGGCCGCTGGGTTCAACTCCGGCGCCGGTGGAGTGCGGAGACAGCGGCGCTTGTTTGTGAGAGGACATCTCTCCGTCACCCCACCCAGCCCCCGTCTCTACCTCTCTCTCCCCTGTGTCAGTGTCTCCGTTTTGGGATGTGTGTAGAGTTGTTGTTGTTGTTGATGTTATTCTTCCCAGTGCTGTTGGTAGAGATGGCTCAACGTTCTCATTGAGTCGATCCCGTCGTGCTAACTCCTGTGGCTCTATCCCTCCCCACGATAGCTCGCCGTTCTCTCTCAGCTCGCTCAAATCCGCATCGACTTTTTTCGCCTTTTAAAATAATGTCACTTTACTTCCTTCGCTATCCGTCCTCAGCCTTCCGCTCTAGCTGCTAGGATGAAGCGTAGCTCTTGAAACTCCACACAGTCGAATTGCTCTGTCACTTCTTTCTCCACTCAAATCTAACATTCAAAGTCGCTGTCCAACTCCGTCAGCAATTCTCCGCCAGACCTTCCCGCCTCTCTATCGCTCTCTCTCTCTCTCGACCCTCAAGCCCTATGAACTCTCGGTCACATGCTTCTTCCAAACACCCTGCCAGGGCATCTTCCCGCGTCCTCGCTCCTCCTCTTCCTCCGCTGCTTTCCGTCTCAACGCAACGCCCTCGGCGACAGCGCTCCTCTCAACTCCACTCGAGCTCCGAGACGTCTCGCGCGACGGGCCACCTCCTCCAGAACGCGCGCTCGCCACGTGTCGCTTGCGCTGCGTAGAGACGGCCGATGAGGTCACTCCATCCCGATGTTCCGCGCACGACGGCCCGTGACATTCACGGCGGGGAAGCAACAGCAACAGCAGCAGGCGTCTGTCCGTCCGTCCGTCCGCCCGTCATCCGCGAGGACTTTGCTCGTCTCGTGCAGATCGGGCTTTGGCTGTCACGCAGCGAGGCGGCGTGCTGCAACTCGCGTCGTCCAAGCCATCATCACCATCATCATCGCCGTCGTCGTCGTCGTCACATCCTTGAGTGTTGACACCGTCATTCGAAGCCGTTCACGATCAAATCGAATTGACCTCGCTCAGAATAGGTAGCAATTTAAATCAAGTGCTGTAAGAGTACAGCGACAACAGCAAAACGAAACCGGACGGCGCTCTGCACGTCTTCATTAGCGAGATTAAAAATATCCTCCTTTAAAAAAAGAAACCCCCCCATCTCAGCCTATTTTCCCGAATAAAAAGCTGTAGCGTATATCCTTATTTTCGCTTTACATTTCGTGCATGTCACCTAGGCTTGGTGTAGACATACGGCTTGTTGTTGTCTGTTGCCTGCGTCTGTGTGTGCAGCGAACAAACACTCCTCCAGGTCGCGCGCAGTATATGTGCGTGCGTATTGTGCTCGTAACAAATAAAGTCGCGAAAAATCACTTGCCCCAAAAGACTGTTAAGGCTACTACGCACAGGGCATATATATGTGTGTGTTGTGCTCTGTGCTAACCAGAGCAGAGAGCGGTCGTGTGTTATACAAACCCAGCTCTCGGACACCAACACCATCAGTGACGATTATCTGAACCGGTCCTGGGCCTCCCCTAGGTCGACTCAGCCTCAAATGAGTACCTCGTGCGCTTTGTAAACATCGCCACTAGGGAGACAAAGGCGGCCGGGCTTGGTGCTGACCACTACCCACCCGCTCGTGTGTCGTGCCGGCCTTCATAGGCGCTTGCTAACAGCACTTGCCCCAAACAGATCTATAAAGCCTATACGGGGGATCTTTGTATCTGTGTTAGCAGAGCTATATTAAAACCACGGCTGCCAGCACGTGCGTTCGCCTGACTTGTAGAGGAACAACTGAGCGCGTGTGACTCTTCCCTCTCCCTGGCCAGCACCCACGCTCCCCCTCTCTCTCTCACTACTGTGACAACACACACACCCACAGCACATTGCACACACACACAGCACTACACACACACAGCAATACACACACACAGCACTACACACACACACAGCACTGCACACACAGCACTGCACGCACACACACAGCACTACACACACAGCACTACACACAGCACTGCACACACACACAGCACTACACACACACACAGCACTACACACACAGAGCACTGCACACACAGACACAGCACTACACACACCCACAGCACATTGCACACACACACAGCACTACACACTTACAGCAATACACACACCCAAAGCACATTGCACACACCCACAGCACATTGCACACACACAGCACTGCACCCACACACAGCACATTGCACACACACACACAGCACTGCACACACACACACAGCACTGCACACACACAGCACTGCACACACAGCACTGCACACACACACAGCACTACACACACACAGCACTGCACACACACACAGCACTACACACACACACACCACTGCACACACACAGCACTATATACACACACAGCACTACACACACTGCACACACACACAGCACTGCACACACTGCACACACACAGCACTACACACACACACAGCACTGCACACACACATCACTATATACACACACAGCACTACACACACTGCACACACAGCACTGCACACACACAGCACTACACACACACACAGCACTACACACACACAGCACTGCAAACACACACAGCACTACACACACTGCACACACACACAGCACTGCACACACACTGCACACACACAGCACTACACACACACAGATCGGCTTTTTGAAGCACATCCACCAGCCCGGCACGTCACTGCACACTTTACACCAGGTCATCCCCCCCTCACCCCAGGGTGTGTGTGTGTGAGTGTGTCTGGGATTGGGTTATTCCCTGTCATTGATGTACGTTAAGTGCTGAGCACGTGCACTGTACGTACGCTCTCGCAGCACACGGAGCACGTGTGACGGTGGACGTTTGGGACAATGGCTTGCGTGCAATTGGTATTTGGTCGTAAATGATCTAATCTCACCCGAATCTTGGTCTAAAATAGGAACTTCCTTCATGCGGGCGTTCGCCTCTGGGGAAATGAAATGGGAAGCGGATTTGTCGTCGTCGTCGCTGCTGCTGGCAAAGGCAGCGGCTTTGCGGCGTCGGACTCAACAGGCGCTCGCTAGCACGCGGCATTGCCCTGACGCTTTACGTGGCGCAGACGTGGGAGCTGATGCTTTTTGGCACAGGGTGGCATCATCGAGGGTTTGCGAGCTCATGCCTCTAACCGAGCCGGCCAAATATTTGCGTGGGTTCAAAAAGATATACACGGTGACATTTATATGTGTCTGTTTATTGTATGGATTATAAGATGCACCCCGGTCCCAATGCTATACAAATCGTTAATTCACAACGACGTGGACACGAAATGATAATGATGTACCAGATACTAAGATGTGTCTCAAAGATGTTGAGAAAGGGGGGGGGGGGGGGGGGGGGGGGGGGGTGGGTAAGTGCATCTTATAATCCTAATAATAAGATACTTGAAAAGTACAGGGTGATCCAGATGTCTTGTGACCCCCGTTTAATCCTCTAAAACTTCATATTTTTAAAGAAAGGTTTATCTGGGTCAATTAATCAGAATCTTTGTTTATACTGGAGGAATCGGATGAGCTATAAAGCTCTTTTTTTACAGAAGTCCAGAAGGATCGGGCAAGAACGTTACAACGTAAAAACAGGACAACATTGGAGGTCACGAGACATCTGGACCACCCTGCAGAATCCGCCTCTGGTTTTGGGTTTCCCATAGGTCAACTCAGCCTCAAATACAGTCGCTTAAAACTCGTCAACGCCAAAATCAATCGCGCGTGGTTCTAGCTCGGTGCGTCCATCCCTCGACCGTATGTGGCGCTTGTGTTGCTAACAATACGTGCTCGCAGACGATCTTTAATCGTGCCTAGTCTGATGGATGTGACCGCATGGCTCCTGGACGAAGGGGAAACGAGAGGGCAGTGTTTGTTAACTGCTGCATCTCGCCAGGCCGCCGAGTGATTGCGTGATTGCGTGTGCTATAATTAAACGACCCGGGATGATTCAGAATAAACTGTCCAATTAAGCCAATTTGTAATCGCTGTAGCACGCACACACAACGCCCACAAGTAACGATGGTTCGTGCGTGTAGCCACGTGCACACGGTTGCAGCAAGGTAGGTACAGGCACCTCCGATTAGCGCGGTTCAACATACATCATCATCATCATCGCGATCCCATGGGCAGATAAGCCCGTTAGGTGTCCACTGCACATTAGGTCATTTGTTTCTACTTTCCTCTCCGCCTTGTTCCAATATGGCACAAGTAGTGGCCACGTCTTTCTGGCACCATACACAGGTCGCAATATAAAGCAAATTGTTCGCTGTAATAAAATAAAACGCACGTTACGCTTGTCAAGATATCCCGATGAATCTATACATCTAAATCAGCTCAAGCCTCCCGTAAATCACGTGACTTGTGTGGCTACCACCATTCTGTATCCCTCCCGTCTCGCCGCCTCCCTCTGTGAAAACAGACGCTGCTTCTGCTCGATCCTCCCACTATTCATTCCCGTCTTGTGCTCCGACATCTTCACCGGGTCATTCCTTCCCCTCCGCTTCCTGTCTTTGGCGACCAGACGCTCCTACTTTGTTCCTGCTGCTCATCGCTTGACATTTTGGGCCTCTGGGCCATTGCTCAGCAACCGTGATTAAACAAATGCAACAAAAAATACTTGCTTGGTATGCAGTTCTCTATACGTTGTAGCAGTGCTCTCTGTCGGTGGAATTCATTGTAGCCATCTTGCTCGCTGGTGAACGTATGTTTCGATGATGCATTAGTGTCCTATTTACATCCTGGGTTACAAAAAAACGTGGGAAGAGCCGTTTAAATCAGCCCCCTATGTAACTCAAATAAGCGCAGTTTTTAGTTCGTGTATTGGGTAAAGGCAGCCATATTGAAATCCAATATGGCCGCCATTATTTGTCCTTGGCTTCCTCTGAGCCAGATTAATTTGAGGAGAGTAACCATTCTGGGCACGGAAAATGCCAGGCATAATTGATAAAATTACAAAACTTACATCACATTTACACGTAACACCTTGCACTTAAAATCTAACGCATACATTTAATTACCACCGAATAACATAATCAGCCAAACTAAATCGTTTTGTTTTATTTAATATTTACCATGAACACTTCGAACATCACTAAAGTTCAATCCGAGTCAACGTCACCATGAACCAGAGGTGGTTCACGGGACATGGAAGGTTAAAGGGATTTGTTTAAAGAAAAACATTTACAGCAATTTATTTGGAAAACTTGATTTTGATCGATTCGGTCTGGGGCAGCGAGTTCCCCGATTGTGTCAGCCCCCCACTTGATCCACTACTGATACCCTTACACACATTTTTTTCTCTCCAAAATTCAACAGGTTTGATGAATGAAATATCCAAGTATACGCATTTTTCAAATAAATGAAATGTATTTAACTTTGCAAGCGTAACGAATGAAGTTTTGATTTAGTGAACGCCTTTCACTCGCCGTTTAAGGACAAATCTTCTAAACTGTCATTCGAGAGCAAAAGGTGAGTGAAAGATTACGGGAAGCAAGCGGTGACCCAGGCTCTTGGTCGCCCGGTGTGGATGATTGCAGATTGCCACGTCCGTCCGCTCATAGATTAATTAGCACATGGACAGTGTTCATCCCAGACGTTTTTCATTTATAATTTTATTCTGCAAATTCTGGCTCACCCGTGCCTGCCGTTAAGAGGTTTACTGTACAGGAGCTAGCATTTCCCTTCGACTCGCAGCTTCATTGGCACGCGAACAGCGTTCATGTCAGAAGTATTTTTTGTTACTTTTTCATACCCACAATTCTGGCTGCCCGGTGTCCACCTCAGAGACGCTTCACTGTATATTAATCTAGCGTCCTGCCAACGTGTAACACTTTGTGTCACAAAGCGTACAATTGCGTCATAAATCTGACTCACTCCACTGCGTTACTTGGTAGAAGTCAGGGGTCAGGGATGTTGCAGATCATCGGCAGCTTTATGGGAGGGTGGTAATGGGGCTTGTTGACCCCTTCTAACCTGGTGTAGGCCAATCAATTTCAAAGACAATGCGTATATTATCAGAGCATGTTTGTTTGCATGTTCATAAGAAAAGGGTCAAACCTATTATTATTTTACATACCCTTCTAACCTCTTGGCAGACTCGGGGGGGGAGGGCAAGTGATATATTGTATCCCACACGCCCCCCTCACCCCCCACATAAACCTCCCTGTCGACAGGGAGGTACAAGTGAATTTCCATTAAATAGTAAGAGGTATTCATTAACACAGACTTCATACTGTTAACATATTGCCTATAATACATTAACAATCCAATCTAATAATTCACGTTTTTTTTTTGCATTACATCGCTATACGTACGTACGTTGAACTTCTTTCACAACGTACATAGCCAACCATGCCAAACGGAGGTGCTGAAAGTCCTCACCAATTCGGTGTCAATCATGAGGGTTGTTTAATCATACTTCACCACGCTGGTCAGTGTTGGTAGGTCACCACAGCGGGTTCAGAAATCACTCGCCACTGATATTGGCCTCAGCTGGCAATCGAGCACAGGTCATTGGGGCTCACAGTGTAAAAAAAAACACTAAT